CCATTCAGCCCAACATGTCCACACCAACTCTCTGAAGAGCATCCCACCCAGATTCACCACCCTACCCTATCACCATCATCCTGCTTTCCCATGGTTAATCCACCTAACCTGCACATCTTTGGACTGTGGGAGGAGACCGGAGCACCTGGAGGGAGCCCATACAGACACAGGGAGAATGTGCAAACTCCACACAAACTGTCGCCCGAGGCTGGGATTGAACCCGGGTCCCTGGCGCTGTGAGGCAGCAGTGCTAACCACTGAGCCACCATGCCACCCATAAAGCAGAAAAGCATGCCTGCTTCTCACACTCCCTAGAATTAAGTTCAAGGCAGGAGGGCTCATTACCAAACTTCCTGGCCCAGCACCAGTTGAGACCTCTCAGTGGCCAGTTGAAGAGATTTTAAGGGTCTCAGTTCTATACCAACTGCAATGAGCCTCTCGCCCTGTGCTGTTCCCGACTGGTCACCCTGTTTGGCCAGCTGGTCACCTCAGTGGTAACGTGGGGGGTCACTGTCTCAACAAGGGCTACTGGTGAGAGAATATCCTAAATATGGGAATGCTGAAACTTCCAGTCTCTCATGAATGTGTTATTCACACATATGCCTTTGAGTGGCTGCATGAATCCTTCAGCCTGACCAAGGCGATTTTCCCAGTAGGTTCCCAGAATGGTGTGAGGTTTAAAAAGGTGCAAATAATTGCAGAACTTTGTGGTTTGTTGCTTTTCTGCGACTGTTCCCCATGTGAGTGACTGTTGCCAGTGACCTTTGTAAATACAGCGCATGGTAATGGGCGAGGTCACACTGGAAGCTCACAAACCTATCAATTTCAGGGTGGCACAGACGATGGATGGAAGAAAGGATTCTCACAGTTTTGTGTTTCTGGAATAGGGTGGTACAGAGTGGAATATCATAGCCCAGCTAGCTTGTGGGTTAATGCATTGTTGATCTGAGGCTTGGGGCAGAACCAATAACCCTGGGTTAGATTTCCACGTACTACAGTTCTGGGATCATGCTCTCATTGTCGAAGGAGACTCTGTGATCTCAGCCTGACTCCTGCCCTGATTACTGTCTATTATTGGAGAGTGTGACTGTTTGTGCTCTGTTGAGAAGAAAGCAGGATAAGGGTTTCGATGCTCTGGTTTCCTCCCACAGTCCAAAGATTTTAAAGTGAGAGGGAAAAGATTTAAGAAGGATCTGAGGGGCAACTTCTTCACACAGAGAGTGGTGCATATATAGAAAGGGCTGCCAGAGAAAGTGGTTGAGGCAGGTACAATAGCAACATGTTAAAAATATTTGGATAAGTACATGGATGGGAAGGGTTTAGAGGGATATGGACCAAATGTGGGCAATTGGAACTAGCTGAGTGGGCACCTTGGTCAGCATGGACCAGTTTGGGCAGAAGGGCCTGTCTCCATGCTGTATTAGTCTGTGACTCTTTACGACTCTATGTGCAGGTTAGGTGGATTGGCCATGCTAACTTGCCTATAGTGTCCAGGGATGTGTAGGTAAAGTGGATTAGCTCTTAGTTTAATTGGGCAGTGCTGCATGCATTAGAGAATTTCCCCTGGTTAGGCACCAGTGGGTGTTTGGAGATCTATGGAACTGAACTGGAGCAAGAGTGTTAATGAGCACAGGATACAGAGGGTGAAAACTGTCAATAATTGACCATTTGTTGACTGACGATTGTAGTTTTACTTAACTTTCCCTTTTACACGGCCGTTGTGTCAGATTAATGCAGTGTGGATGGTGACCTCTTGAAAATAGACATTAACCTGATCTAGTTTTCTAGACTATTACAACCCAGCCATCTAATTAAAGACATATTCCACCAAGACACAGTTACTCAATCTCCTAAATTGTTTTGGTTTCTCTCTGCAGAGATATAATTTAAAATTTGTCTCAATGCAATTTCTCAAAAATGCAATAATTCCATGTACTTTTTCTCACAATGACGGAGGTTCCCAGTTTAATCTCTCTAAAACTGCTCAATACCTGGGAGTTTAATTCCCTGAGTTGCAATATATTTAGTGCAGAACGAGAGCTGAGTTTCTGACTGTGACCTATTACAGCGCAGTTATTAACCTGTTTATGTGAACTGAATTTCAATGATAAGTTGAAATAGGTCAACCAGCTCACTCGAGATAGTTTGGTGCAAAGTTTAGTAGGGTTTGATATACATAACTGCGATCCGTATGAACTTCAACTATCCTTCAAACTGACTGCCCTGCCTGTTCTGAATGCTTGCTTTGTTAGGAACTGCATCATTTGACAATGTTATTTCATAGAATCATAGAATCCCTACAGTTTCAAAGCAGGCCATTTGGCCCATCGAGTCCACACCGACTTTCTGAACAGCATCTCACCCAGACCCAAGCTCCTACCCAATCCTGGTAACCTAATCTACCTAACCTGCACATTTTTGGACTGTGAGAGAAAACCAGAGCACCCAAAGGAAACCCACAACAGACACAGAGAGAATGTGGAATCGAACTCAGGTCCCTGGTGCTGTGAGGCAGCAGTGCTAACCACTGAGCCACCTTGCTGCCACGCATTGTGGAGAATGAGTGAGGATTTGACCCCCAAACAGTGGATATATCTTCTGATGGGAAGTAGAAACTGATATTTGCCTGTTGCAGAGTAACACTGAGAGGACTTGTAGAAGATCAGCTTTTATTAAGTTATTTTGTGCTGGGGGAGGTGATGGCTGAGTGGTGCTATTGCTAGACTGTTTGTTCAGAGACCCAAGTAATGTTCTAGGGACCCAGGTTCAATTCCTGTTATAGCAGATGGTGGAATTTGAATTCAATAAAAAATGTGGAATTAAGGGTCATGGTTGATTGTTTTAAAAATCCTTCTGGTTCACTAACGTCCTTCATGGAAGAAAACGACCATCCTTACCTGGTCTGGCCTACATATTACTCCAGACCCACAGCAATGCTGTTGACTCCTAACTGCCCTGTGGACAATTAGGAATGGGCAATGAATGCCAGCCCAGCCAGGGCACCCACATGCTGTGAATAGATAAAAAGGAACCTGCTTTCCATGCGCCATTCTAGTGAAGAACTGCCGCAGGGTTGCCAACTCTCCATGATTGGCCTGGAGTCTCCAGGATTTGAAGATTAATCTCCAGGACATGGCTGCATGCAACCCAGGAGTAAAATCACAGGGAGATTAACAGGAGTTGGTTTTTAATTCATTTTCTTAGAACATTTCTCTTTATCAGATATATTAAAAAATTGGAAATGATATGGGGGAGGCAGAAAAGCGGTTTGGCTGACAGTCAAGTATCATCCAATAAGGTCATGAGTCCTTTGGCTTTCTGATTTGTGTAGGAAGGCAGAGACTCATGAGTTTTGGCCAACCAATGACTGCAGGGTGGGGCAAGTCATGTGATGAAATATGGATCCTCTATGAATACATTTCATCACAGTTGACCACTGGACATGGTGACAGGCCCAAGGAAAATAACTTACTGTGACTAGTCCACCAGGTGTGGACTGGTACGAAACATCTCCTTGTGTCCCCAACATAGAACAGATTCCGGCCTCTCACCCAGTTACAGGCCCTAGGGCACGCCCACAGCTAAGGCCCTCCCCTTCCTCTTCAGCTACAGACCCTAGAGCCTGCACCCCAAACCACCTTCCAAGTTAGAGACCTGGGGTCTCCCCACCCACCTCCTCCAAGCCAGAGGCCCCAGGCCCTTCCCCTGCTGCCTGTGCAGTGGAGAAACTGCACAAAAGCTTGTCAGCAGAAAGTACAGCTGCACTCCCATGGCATCTGGCGCCAAATTGTGGAAGAGATTCTCCCTGGAAAGGTGCCAAAAGCACACATTAACATAGTTGTCAGCACTTGTCTGAACAGCAACGTTTTGCAATAGTGAGATCTGTCATGTGTAGTTTTTTTTTAATGTTTCAGTCAAATTAGTTGCTTTAGTGAGCAGATGTTCATCCAAGGCAGAATTCCTTAAGCAAACTGTCTCGGTATATTGAGCACACATGAGAGGCCAGTGTAATCCCACACTTGCAATGGTGAGCCCTGGGCAAGGGACAGATCATTCAAATCGAAGCCAAGCTTTTCAGAGTTGGCAGCAGCTGTTCCTCACCCAGAGGAAATCTGCAATTCTCTCCTCCAGAGCTATCGGAATGTGGGGGTCAATTAAACATTTCCATAAACATTGGTGAAGAATGTAAAGGTTATGGAGCTTGGTGGGAAGAGAATGTGGGCTGAATGGTCTCCCTTTTCTATACATCCACCCCCCCACTTCGTCTTTACACGGAGAACAAATTGTGCAACTTGCTTATCACACCAGCCCCGAGTTCACTGAATGTAATGAATGATCCAACACTATTTCCTCCACAGCAATTTCCCATCCCTGACCTCGTGTCACAATGACTCTAATATCACCACCAAGCTGAATGTAGAGGAAGCTTTACTGTGTATCTAACCATGCTGTCACTGTGCTGGGAGTGTTTGATGTGGACAGTGTAGAGGGAGCTTTACTCTGTATCTAACCCCATGCTGTCCCTGCCCTGGGAGTATTTTTATATTCATTTGCAGGATGAGGGTGTCACTGGCCAGGCCAGCATTTATTGCCCATCCCTAATTGCCCAGAGGGCAGTTAAGAGTCAACCATATTGCTGTGGGTCTGGAGTCACATGTAGGCCAGACCAGGTAAAGATGGCAGTTTCCTTCCCTAAAGGACATTAGTGAACCAGATGGGTTTTTCTGACAATCGACAATAGATCCATGGTCATTGTTAGACTCTTTAATTCCAGATATTTATTGAATTCAGAATCCACCATCTGCTTTGGCAGGATTCATACCTGGGTCACCAGAACATTTTTGGGTCTCTGGGTTAACAGTCGAACAATAATAACACAAAGCCATTGCCTAGTCTTTGAAGATAATTGTAGACGTTCCATTTCTAAACGTTCATGTGTGTTGAAGGTGAATTTCGCTGTTAATGGGACAGGGTTATGACTGAGTGTCACTGCTTACCAGGTTATGAAGACCTACCATATGTACAATGCTGACTGTATCAGTGCGGAGGGCAAGCTGAAGGAGGCCGAGAAACAGGAAGAGAAACAGATTGGCCGCTCGGTGAAGCAGGATGACCGGATGCTTGGCCGTTCCCCAGACCCAGCAGCAAATGTACGATTCGAGGAGAAGCACCAGAGACGGAGCTCCGTCCGAAAGATTGAGAAAATGAAGGAGAAGGTTTGGCATTTTAAAATCTTCTCCACTTCTTTCTCTCCCTCACTCCCCCCTTTACTTGCTGTCCTGATTTCTCTTGGTATCATCTCAGTGGCTGTTAAAATCCTGAGAGAATTCCGACAGCGATTGTGAACCAACTGTCCAGTCATAGAGTCATACACCATGAAATCTTCGGCCCCACTCATCCATGCAGACCAGCTTTTCTAAACTAAATTAGTCCCATTCCCCTGCATTTGGCCCGTCTTTGCTGCACCGTTTTCAGTTCAATAACATCCTTCCTAAAGCAGGATGACCAAAACTATACACAGTACTCCAAAAGTGGCCTCACCAATTCCTTGTACAGCCATAACATAACATCCCAACTCCTATAATCAATGTTGTGACTGATGAAGGCAAGCGTACCAAACGCTGTCTTCACCATCCTGTCTACCTTCAAGAAACTGTGTACCTGATCCCCTAGGTCTTTCATTTCGACAACACTCCCCAGTCCTTGCCCCTCCAAATGCATGTAAATCCTGTCTCTCAAAATCCCCTCCAACAACTTACCTACTATTGACATCAGACTCACCGCTCTATAGTTCCCCCGCTTTTCCTTTCTTAAATAGAGGCAGAACATTATCCACCCCCCAGTCCTCCGGCACCTCACCCATGGCAGTCAATGATACAAATACCTGTTCTAGGGGCCTCGCAATTTCTTCCCTAGCTTCCCACAATGTCCTGGGATACACTTGATCAGGTCGAAGGAATTCAACTACCCTTATGCATTTTAAGACCTCCAGCTACTATAATGTGGACATTTTTCAAGACATCACTATTTTTATTTCACCAAGTTCTCTAGCCACATCTTTCTCCAACGTAAATACTGACACGAAATATTCATTCAGGATCTCGCCCATCTCCTGTGGTTCCACACAAAAGCAGTTTCATTGATTTTTAAGGTGCCCTAATCTCTCCCTAGTTTCTATTTTGCTCTTAATGTACTTGGGGAATTTCTTTGGATTCTCCTTAACCTTATCTGCCAAAGATATCTCATGCGTCCTTTTGCCCTCCTGATTCCCCCCCTAAGTGTACTCCTATGCTCCCATACTACTCAAGGGATTCACTTGATCCCAGCAGTCACATGCCTCCTTTTTCTTCACCAGAGCCTCAATATCTTTATTCATCCTAGTGTTCTCTACTTCTACCAGCCTTGCCCTTCACTCTAACAGGAACATACTGTCTCTGAACTCTCATTATCTCACTTTTGAAAGCCTCCCACTTGCCAGTCATCCCTTTACCTGCGAACAGCCTCCCCAAATCAACTTTTGAAAGTTCTTGTCTAACCACATTAAAATTGGCCTTGTTCCAATTTAGAGCTTTAACTTTTAAACAAGACCTATCCTGTTCTATAACTATTTTAAAACTAAGAGAATTATGATCACTGATCCCACTGACATCTCAGTCACTTACCCTGTCATATTTCCCAAGAGAGGTCAAGTTTTGCACCTTCTCTGGTAGGTACATCCACATACTGCATAAGAAAATTTTCTTGAATACACTTAACAAATTCATCCCCATCCAAGCTCTTAACACCATGGCAGTCCCAGTCTATGTTTGGAAAGTTAAAATCCCCTGCTATTTCAACCCTATTATTCTTACAGATGTCTGAGATCTCCTAACATTTTTGCTCCTCAATTTCCCACTGACTATTGGGGTCTCTAATACATTCCCATCAAGGCGATCACCCCCTTCTTATTTCTCAATTCCCGTATAGCTTCACCTCAGGCATATCCTCTCTCAGTACCGCTGTGATGTTTTCCCTAATCAAAAATGCTACTCCCCCTCCTCTCTTGCACCCCCTCCTCCCCACTTTGATCCTTCCAAGAGCATCTATATCCTAGAACATTAAGCTGCCAGTCCTGTCCCTCCCTCAGCCATGTTTCTGTAATTGCTATGATATCCTAGTTCCATGTTCCCAACATTCCCATCTGCCTTACCTGTTAGGCCTCTTGCATTGAAATAAATGCAGTTTAATTTATCAGTCTTCCCTCGTTCCAGGCTTGTTTGTTTAACTTGCTCTCTTTAACTTCTGGACCAGCTTCAACTTTCTCTCCTTTCTCACCACTGCGTCGGGTCCAACGCCCCCTGCCAGACTAGTCTAAACCACCCATCCCGCCCCCCATCGTAGCTCTAGTAAATCTCCCCCCAGGATATTTGTCACCCTGCTGTTCAGGTGCAACCCGTCCTCTTGTATTTGTCACCTCTGCCCTGGAAGTGATTCCGATTATCCAAAACCTGAATCCTTGCCCTTATCCAGCTCCTTACTATCTGCACTTTCTGCTCAATGACCAGGGGTGGGGGAAGGAACCCTGGCTGATTTCTCCTGACTCCTCAGTAACTGAAACCACTTCCATCTTCTGAACATGCAGTGGATCAGGGCCCTTGACCATTCTGCAGTTTCATTTGCCACAGTGAGAGACCTGTACAAATCCAGACAGTCAATTGGAACTGGTCGTCACTGACTGTCTCACACAGGCTGAATCTAATCCCACCAGTTTCAACCTTGCAAAGCCCTGGTTCCTGTTCCTCAGCCTGTACTGTTGTTTGATGCTTAAACACGAGTGTTTTGATTTTAAAAATATATTTAGTCTTTCACACCTATGTGTTAGAGGAAATCTAACACTTTATTGTTGCTGATTTTTCCCAGCGTCAGGCAAAATACACAGAGAACAAACTCAAGGCTATGAAGGCAAGAAATGAGTACATTCTGGCACTGGAAGCCACCAACAGCTCTGTCTTCAAGTATTACATCCACGATCTGAACGACCTACTTGATGTGAGCACGTTTTCTGTCCTCAGCCTGTCAGCTCTGGGCTTCATTTCTTCAAAGGGACTACACAGGTTAAATTATGGGAACAGTTTGGACTCCCTTAGAGGCCACAATCTAATAAAGGTGTTTATGAGAGTGAAGCGATTTGATAGGGCAGGTACAGAGAAACTGGGAGGAGTCCTGAACAAGGTGCAGAACCATCAAGTTAACGGTGATGCCAGGAAGCACTTCCTCACCCAGAGAGAAGTGTCAACCTGGAACTCTCTCTCTGTCTCTCTCTCTCTCTCTCTCTCTCGCTGTCTCCACCAGAGAAGGTGTTGAAGCTGGACACTGAGATTGAGCGGATTTAGCTGATTAATGGGATGAAGGATTCGATTGCAAAGGTTAGAGGGAATTAGGATTCAAATCAACCAAGATCTAATGGCTGCCTCCTGTCCCTACTTTCTGAAAGACCCAGATGTTGAATTGTATCATAGCTTGAAAACAGTTATTGTGTGTTAATGATTTCAGAAGAGTGAGAAAAGCAGAGCCTGAGATTCCCTGCCTGCTCTACTTGTGCACACTCATCAAATTAGTCACTTCATCATTATCTTGTTACTGCTTGAATGGGGTTGCATGGGATTCATGGGAATCAGAGGCAAACTCCACAGAAAGGCCATTCAGCCTACCATGCCCTGCTAAGTCAATGGAAGAACAATCCACTTAGTCCCACTCCCTTGTTATTTCCTCAGAGTGCTCTCTCTGTTTTCATTAAAGCATTTATCCATTTTTTTTTCTCTCAAATAATAATTGAATCTGCTTCTTCCAGTCTTTTAAAAAATGAGTTCCTAGGTCCCAACAACTCACTACGTCAATAGTGTTTACTCATGTTGTCTCTGGTTCTTTTACCAATTGCCTTAAATCTGTGTCCTTGGGTCAGAACCTGTTCGCAGCTGTAACCCTTTCTTCTCATTTACTGGCTCAAAGCTGTTGGTATTAAATATTCTTTTGAGCCTGAACTCCTTGAAGGAGGGCATTGTTATGGTGCGGTGGCAGTGTCCCTATCTCTGAGCCAAGAGTCCCAGATTCAAGTCCCATCCCTTCCAGAGGTGTGTAATAATATCTCTGAACAAAAACCAAAAGAACTGGGGATGCTGTAAGTCAGAAACAAAAATAGAAATTTCTGGAAAAGCTCTGCAGGTCTGGTAGCATTTGTGAGGAGAAATCAGAGTTAACATTTCAGATCGAGTGACCCTTCCTCGGAACACTTGAAGCAATTGGAAAATTGGAATAAGGAGAGGACAAAGGTGACAGCAGTCTTGGTGTGTGAGAGTCACAGCCGAGTTTTGCTTCATAGTTTGAAAATTGCAACATGTGCAAGAGTTGTGATTTTGATAGGGGGGAGCATTCTAATTTTTGCTGTTGGTTTTAGTGCTGTGACCTCGGCTACCATGCCAGTCTGAACCGGGCAATGAGGACATTTCTGTCAGCAGAGATTAACGTTGAGCAGTCTAAGCACGAAGGGCTAGAAATCATTGAAAATGCAATTGACAATCTGGACGCGAGCAACGACAAGCAGCGGCTTATGGAGTTGTACCACACCGTGTTCTGTCTGCCACCAAAATTTGATTTCCAGTCACACATGGGGGATGGGGTAAGTATAACTCTTTGAAATTCCAGGGTCTGATGTGTTATCCAGCACAGTTAGAAGGTAACGTGATTGTATGATGTTCTTAATCCAGATTGTCAATTTTTTTTCTCATTAACTTGACAGACCTGTCCCTACCAGTACTGTACTCCAGTGTTATACAGCGACAGACCTGTCCTCACCCGGTACTGTACTCCAGTGTTACACAGCGACAGACCTGTCCCCACTGGTACTGTACCCCAGTGTTATACAGGGATAGACCTGTCCCCACCAATACTGTACCCCAGTGTTATACAGTGAGAGACCTGTCCCCACCGGTACTGTACACCAGTGTTATACAGTGACAGACCTGTCCCCACCGGTACAGAACCCCAGTGTTAAACAGTGACAGACCTGTCCCCGCCAATACTGTACCCCAGTGTTAAACAGTGACAGACCTGTCCCCACCAGTACGTACCCCAGTGTAACACAGTGACAGACTTGCCCCCACTGGTACTGTATCCCAGTGTAACACAGTGACAGACCTGTCCCCATTGGTACTGTACCCCAGTGTAATACAGGGATAGACCTGTCCCCACCAATACTGTACCCCAGTGTTATACAGTGACAGACCTGTCCCCCATCGATACTGTACCCCAGTGTTGTGCAGTGACAGACCTGTCCCCACCGGTAC